TATCAATAAGGTTTACCTCGCCTATCTTACTCTCTAAACCCAATAAGGTTTACCTCGCCTACCTACCTTACTCTCTAAACCCAATAAGGTTTACCTCGCCTACCTTACTCTCTAAACCCAATAATGTTTTCCTCGCCTACCTACCTTACTCTCTAAACCCAATAAGGTTTACCTCACCTACCTACCTTACTCTCTAAACCCAATAAGGTTTACCTCGCCTACCTTACTTTCTAAACCCAATAAGGTTTACCTCGCCTCCCTACCTTGCTCTTTACTTTAACAGAAACAAAATAAAATGTTTAAAGATCTGTGATTTGTTTCTAATTCTAATTAATCTCCTATAAAACCATAAGTTACTCCTCACATCAATTTATTCATTCTACAATAACATCAGTAGTTTAAAACATAAATCTATCCAAGGACCTTTAAATGTTACCTACAGCTATTTTGAAAGCTGAGTTTTATCAGTAGAAACTCCAGTTTGTTGTAGAGAGTAAGAGAAAGCTGGTCAGCAAACCAGAGGCTATAAATGAACCCCCATGTAGCAAGTGAACAAGGAATCAGTGGAAGACTCTGAAGCTGCAATGAAATATTTGATGGGAGAATGCTACGAAATCTCAAACAATGATGATGTCAGTGACAGCACTTTAGAGGTGTTTTTAATAAAATCAAGGTTCAAAGACAGGTGGATACGTAATCATAATGGGTTCCTAAACATTGTTCTACCTGCCAAAAATCTGTGCCACCTGAGAGACTTTTTTTAGCCATTGGCCACCTGTTGCAAAGAACATAGCAGCACTGGAGCTGTACCCAGTAGATGAATACTTGTTCCTTAAGCCAAAACAGGACACACTTGCTGACCTTGTTGCAGCAATCAGAGATCAAAGCTTGGTTCAGATTAAGCATGAAATTAAGACTTTGAACACAGGTGAGCCACAAGCTTAACATTCTGTGGCTAAAATACATGCATTGCACAAACTGCCCCAAATCTAGGATTTTTTTATAGTGTCTGAGACAGTGTACAGACTAAGAGTTTCTGTACTACCAGTTTTTTGTGTGTATCCATTTATTAGTTAAACATGGATTCTGTGTGTATCCGTTTACATATAAAGACATTTATTAGTTAAACATGGATTCTGTGTGCATCCGTTTACATATAAAGACAATTATTAGTTAAACATGAATTTTGTGGGTATCCATTTACATATAAAGATATTTATTAGTTAAACATGGATTTTGTGTGAATCCATTTACATATAAAGACATTTATTAGTTAAACATGGATTTGGTGTAATGAAATCAGTAAATGCACTTACTTGTTGACAACTAATGGTACCTGAATAGTCAACACAGAGGACCAGAAGCGAAACAAGATAACAGAAGGGAGTAGCTTGTAACACACCGCAATGGCCTGAAGTGTCAAAGGAACACAAGAAGTAACAGATACATTATCAGTGAGTTAATGGAGTTGATAATTTATCCTGCGTAAAAGAATCAGAAGAACAAGAATAGCTGATTATATTGTACAGGATAAGAAAGTCTACATAAAACATAACACAGAGGGTAGAAAACTGGTGAGGGGACAAAGAAAAAAGTCCATATCTGGTAATCAAGAACTTTAGAAGTAATACTGGTAGTGGAATACAAAGTTAAATTGTTATTCTACTAATTTCCAACAGTATAAGTTAAACCTGAATATCAAGAGAAGGATCCAAGTACCAAACTGTTCAACATGACATTAGAACTCTCAGGTGCAACAGAAATTGGTTCAATATTTAAAATAGAACATACCTGAAACAAACATGAAAAAAAAAACTTCAAAAAGTTTCAAAATGATTATGGCTAGCATATAAATGCAAATACTAAGACTGAAAAGGCCGAAGTAAAACATTACATTTCTCCAAAATGATGAATATTCCACAAGTTGAGCATCCAACCAATCATGAAATGTGCCAGGGATACCGGCACTAACAGCCTGAAACATTCATCAATAAGGGACG